TAGGCAGATATTTAATGGAGTGTTATGAGTTTCAGTTGAAGGTGCTGCTGCTATAAACAGCTCCATTAAAACAGACTGTATAATAGCTTTGTCATAGTTTTATGTCAGTGTATCATTTCAAGCAGTTCTCTTTTTAAATCTTAAATAAAGCCCATTAGAGATCACCACTTGAGCTGTTAGACTTGGAAAGATCATGAAACAGCTGGCTGGACTTCCAATAGCTCTAAATAAATGGCACGCATAACTTCTCTCAGTTGTCTCTCATTACTTACTGTTCATGCCTTAAAAATACTAAATTTCTTCTAAGTCTTATTTTTCACTAGATCTCTTTATTTTGTTTGATGCTTGTACCTTCTTCAGCCCAGGTCTCCCAGTGGGTGTGTGTCCCTGTGACTAGATTTTTTACTCCAGAGTGGAATAAAATTCCAGAGTGGAATGATCATCATCTACTTTAGCTGGGAAAAGTGGGGGCAAATTCACAAATAGTCATACTTAAAACCTGAGTCCCATGTAAAGAGAGCACTGTTTACTAAAGAAGACACACGACAAAGCCTAATTTCAAACAAATCATGCCATTCTATTAATGAGTGTTCAACATTCCTGCTTATTTCCAGAACATATAAGCAGAAACTAATATATTTGTGTCATTAAAGTGGTAAAAAACCTGGCAGGATGACCAACCACAGTGAAAAGTTGCAAATGAGTGGAAAAAAATGATGTGAAAGTCATTTTGTTTAAAAAGATAAAGTAATTTTTACAAACATTTTAAATCCTTGACTTATCAGCAGAAGCACAAAATGCATTAACTTATTCTTTGCATTTCATGAAGTTACCTTATCAGCATTAGCCAGCTTCCTCATTTTTCCTTTCTGAGCAAGAGATTTGGTAGAAGGACTTGATAATTGTTGATTGTGCCATTCATGTAATAACAAAAGAGGAACACATTTGGGAGTTTACTCATTTTCCATCATGACTCCAAACACAATTCTTCTGCCATCATATGTAATTGTTAGCAGTACAAATCTGGCTCATTTTTCAATCATTTTTAAACCTAAAATTTAGAAAAATAGTAATTTTAAGTGCCTGTCAGATAAACACATCTAATATTAATTTGATATTAGTCTTAAGGAATAGCACCTTTAATGATTATTTAATATAGTACAATAATCAATGACAAAAACCCCTAGGATTTGAAGAGAGGAAGATCAATATGTCACTAATTTTGCACTATTGAGAAAAAAACCCAACCAAATCTTGTGAGATGAATAAATAAGAATTCTGTTTTAAGATTTGTTGAGTAATTATATGCTATTCAGTTTAGGAAACCACTCTTAAAGGTGGAGGGAGTTCAAATAAGCAACAACATAGAGAAGAGGTGTAGAAGATGACTTCTAATGATAGAACAGAGCCTAGAAAGAAGAGGACTGAAGTCACTAATCCCCAGTAATGTGAAAGTTTGCTTCCAAAAGCAAAGGGACATCTGCGTAAATCAAAAGGACAATAACTAATGTCCTTTGGATGGAGCACTGGAAGTTTAAATAAGACACTAGGGAGAAAATAAAAAAAATGAGCTGTCTAACCACAGTGACAGTGAAACACTGGAATATATTACTTTGGAAAGTAAAGATCTCCAGTGACAAAGATGCTACAAGACAGGCTATACAATCATGTTGGTATTAGTTTAATTGTAACTGATCCTGCCTTTGGGCAAGGGGAAATGGATTGGATCAGGAGTTCTTGAGCTGTGGGAAGACACTGACATACCCTTGGAGGCCCAGGCAAAGCTCCAGGAGAATTTAGTCTTATATTTCTCCTTCCTATCTGTTCCCCTAAAATTTCTCTCTGAAAATCATTTGAAGAATGTTGTATTTGCTCTCAGGACAGGAGGGGTGCAGAGCCATCAGATTTGCCCTGCCTAGGGGCACATTTGGAGCATCTGGGGGGGCACCTGGGGGGGCACTTGTTGCATGTTCGTTGCACTCCCCTGGTAAGAGTGAGCTGAACTGTGTTGAAGTTATTGCTACCCCCCTGGCACAAAGTGCATGGGAAAGGCTGACCTTTTTCTTCCTAGTGAAATCCAGATCCACAACTGAAGAGCATTGAAAGGCATAGGATGTGAGGAATGGTGCAATTTCCCAGGGGCATCAAGACTTGGATCAGGCAGAGGAAGCTTGTAATGATACCTGTCAATTCAGGCAGCAGCTTCAGAACACAACTACCCAGGGACAACATTCTAGGTGTTATACAGAAGTACCACCTATTTGCTGGACTGGAAATAGGGATGTTTGTATATATGAAGGGCCTATCCTATTACAGTAGAAAGACAGGCCCAATAATAATAAATTTCAGTACCATTGAAATAAATCACCTCCTAAAAGGATTTTCAGCTCTGCTTTCTCCTTGCTGCATGTAATTAATAAATTAATAACAAAATAATTATATTTTTCACACTCATAGAAAATGTGATAGATGTTCAGGTATTTTAAGCAGCAAACCTGGATATATGCTTTGGTTTATACCTATTCAAAAACACTGGAATAATACTTCACATTATTTTCTTTGTTAAGTGTTAATTTTTGGTGGAAGGGACTGGCAAAATGAGTACATGAATTTTTAGCATCTAGAGAACATATTCAGTAAGTAATCCTTGCTGTGCCGATCATTTCTGAGTAGTTTCCTGCAAATATTCACTATCCGAACTTTTGGTTATTTTTATATCACATCTAGAAATGGTTTTCAACATGAAAAGACCCTTTAAGCCTACAAAAAGTAAGTTGCATTCCAGTTTCTAAGTTCCATGGTATGATACAGTCAATTTTCTCTTCTTCAGTGTATCTGGGAAGCACCAGATAGGATCTATTGTAGGTCAAGGCAGTTATGTATAGAAAGAGGATAGATGTATTGGTTTCAAGAAGGAGTTGGCACAAGGCTTGCAAACAACTCAGAGAAATGGTGCATGTGGTATGAACCCACTGTGACCTAAGGAGCAGCAGATCATGTCACAAGTCACAAGCTCAAGAACTTTTCTACAGATTTATGTCAGCACTTTTCTTTTTATTTCATCTATCTCTAATTAAAAATATGTACCCTTCTCTCAGTCTTTGCATGTTTATTTATGTATGTTGTTAAGTGGCATTGGTGGTGGTCAATGAAACATAAAATCAAATGGACCTCTAGGCACAAGTCCCCTCATATGATTATATAAATTATTGTATATGTACACATATGCACTTGTCATAACTTCTGCAGCTGATCTATCTGTTGACCCAATGCAGTGATGACTAAGAAAAATCAAAGTAAGTCATCTCAAATGAACACAGGGCTGAGACTATCTACAGTGTGTCAGATGGGAAACTGTTCACAGTAAGGCCAAATACAGGCCCCCACTTATACTTCATATATGCAGGTGACAGTAAATACCAAAGATTATTAATAAATGTTGCAAAGTTGTGGGGAAAAAAAAGAAATTCTGGTTACAACACAACAAAACTGTAAAATTCTTATTACAATTTAAAACCTGATTTTTAGGAAGAAAAATCATAGATTTCCTGATTAGAAATTTAATCATCAGTGTAAGTTAAGAAATCAAAAGGTGGACTTAGTTATGGTCACGACCACGGAACACTTACCTCTTTGAGACCTTCCTCATACCAGATCATAATGGAAACTAAGGAGAGAAACCAAAGTTGGACAAAATAGCTTCTCAGATTTCTAACAATTCTTACATAACATATGCATTAGTAAGCAGAATAATATTTTGTGAGCTGAAGCTATATAAACTTGATACATTAGGATTCTCACCTTTTCATCTCCACTAAGCACAAAAGATGCACAATATACCTAAGAGATGATCACTACAAATTTAAGGCTTCTGAAAACCTCCTTCTTTCTCATCTTTTGTATATTGTAAGCAAGTGGTGACAGACTGCACCTTAAGTAACTACTGTGAACAGCAGTGGTAGAATAAATTCCTTGCATTTACTCAGAAGTCAAAACATACTGTCTGCAACTCCAGACTTCAGAAGGTGAAAGGAAGTAGTGAGGAAAACTCTCTGTATGCCTACCTTCCATTCACCCAGGACTGTCCATTCACCCAGAACTGTCCTGTCAGTGAACAAAACTTAGGGGTGTCAGGTGGAAAAAAAGATTGGGAACCACTGCTTTAGACTGATGTGCAGAGAGATGGTAATGCTACTGAAACAGTATTTGAGTGAGGACAGTCACAACCCCTCCTTCCCACTTCTCAGGCAGCTAGGGTCACCAATTCTTGCAGTTGAAGGAATATAATAATTGCACATCAGTCTGGTCTTCATCTCTGATCTCCCTGCTTCAAGACAAGGACACTCTGGCTTTAAGGAAGGTTACAGTGACCTCCTTTAGTTATTCCAGTAATTCATATTTCAGTGCAAATCCATGGCCTGGACAACTGATGTTTCAGCTTCAGCTCTGCAGTGCTACAGAAGTTGAAGTTGTCACCTGTCTCTCCTTTGCTCCCTTCTTCTTTTGGGTGGAGTCTGCTGGTACAGGTCCCTGGTGGCCTTTGACAGAAGATGGCCTGCCAGAATAGGTTGCTCAAGAGTTGCCTTTGTATTGCAGCTCATCCAATCCTTTACAAACCCAGCCTCCAAATTCCCAATGACAAAAAGTTCCCTGGCAAAACATCAGGATTCTTTGATATCACATGAACTATGTTCTGGGAACAGCACCAAAAGATCTTATCCAAACATTTCTCACAGACCTCACAAATGCTAGAGAAAACCAACTCAGTCCAACAGGCACAGGGAAGAATGAGTTGCATCTTTCTGCTCCAGTGAGGTCTTTATTACTGTTAGAGAGTTTTATCCACAGAAAGCAACTTCTTTTGTCTCCCTCCATTTCTGGAAAACGGGGCCTTAGCTCACAGTTCGAGTCCCACAGTAGCTTTGAAACTAAGTAAAGCTGACCTTAACCAGACTTAAAGTTTCCACTCAGAAACACAATATACTGTAAAGAATTGCTTATTTTCAGATGGTAACTTTATTTAGAGACTTCCTCAAGTATCTGATGGATTTTAAGAGAATTACCATTATGCTAACAACTATTGTGACTCAAGAAAATAAAAGAAATTAAGATGGTTGACTGACCAATCATTCTAATTAAAAGTATTTAGCAGTTAGTTTTATGGAACACAAACATATGATTTTTTTCTATACATAAAACTTTGTGGATGATGCAGTCAGTGCCAGAGACAAACTCTTACCTAATTTCAGAGAGGCCAAGCAGTAGAATTCCTCAAGAATCCTGTACTCTTTACTTTGGCAAGGGACGATGTAGTGACCTGACTGTTTCTTCACATACTTTTTTCAAAAGGTAATAAGTTAACAGAGTCTAGTAAAAATATATTTAAAAAATGCCTTGCCTGCTTTGTGTAATTAATTATCTAAGCAAATGTCTTGTTTAATTAGGCTTTGCAGAAATGTAAAAAAAAAAGCCCATAAGCATGCACAACCCCCCAAACTTATTTTATGAGTAAATTTGTATTTAGTATATGAAAAATGAGTGTTAGAGAATCCAGAAGAGAGGCAAATCCCTTGTTTGTAAATACAAAGAGTTCTGTATCCTTCATCAGCTCAATTTCAATGATTTCTATCTTTTCCATTCTAACAGCATAGCATTCTGATTTTACTGTTTCACAATGTAACCACTCCAGCACTGAGATTCCTGCATACAACACCTCCAAGACAAAAAACCCCAAACCACTCACAATTTATGACTAGTAATTATTCTGCCTACAGAGTTGTCTTTGTTGTGTTTTAATGTTTGAAGTGGCTTGGTTTATGAATCTTTTGAATAATTCCATGGCAGTCATCTCCAGTTTCCCAGCGCAGATATATATGTATCCAGTTGCAACACAGAGCTGAAATCCTGGCCTCACTGAAACCAGTGGGAGCTCACTTTTGGAGTTGTGAGCTCTCATAATTAATTATTAATTAAAAAAAAATCCATTTTTTTGGCTATAATTTGGCTGAGACATGGTCTAAAAAAGTCTGCCCATCGAGATGTTGCAAAGATGAGTCCTTTGGCTAACTCTTTATGTTCAACTTGCTTGTAACTGGATGATTCTAGCAATGTTCAGCATTATGCTCATTATGTTAGTTCTGAATCCAGCCCCCAAATTATAGAAAGTAGTACATTTTGTGTGCTCTTTTTGGCTGAATCACCTGTTAAGGCTTTCAGTCGTGTTTTCAAAGGCAACACTGTGCTTTTCCTGTTGTCTTGTCAGCTACGTGCCCTAAACTTAAAGAAAGGCAATGTTTAAACATCTAATATCTGTATATGTTGAACATGCCTGGAACAAGTCTGTATAACCACAATGTCTCAAATAACAGTTGTATTTTTTGCCTTGTTTGTAGTAACAGTCAATTACTGGTTATTGATCTTTGCAGCCAAGTTCCATTTGAAGGTAGCTCTCTCCCCTACAAAAGGGTAAACAAAGAAGTTCAGGAGAAACACCTACATATTTAAGGTTAAATTTTAAAAAAAAAGCATTTGTAACACAAGAATAGAATATTCTGCAGTTAACACTTGTGTCTGGTTATTTTACTAGGACAATCTTGTGAAGTTGCTTGAATGTCTGTCTGGATTTTGCCACCTTTTTGGCAAGTACACAAAGGCCAGGTACACAAATGTTTGCATTGGTGATCATTTAACTTTGTAGGTGAAACACAGGGTGCTGATCACTACGTATAAAGCCTAATGTAATCTGGTTTACAGAGAAAGTAGAAATTAGCAAAACTTTCTCTCTCCTACTGTCTTACCACAACATTTGTGTTCAGAAGGAACACAGGTATCTTTTCCTGAGCCAGGCTGCACAGGACATTTTTTAGAATAAGCCATTGTTTGACTTTAATGCCATCAAGTGTATGTTTAAATCTCATACTATTACAAGAAAATCTAAAATGTATGTTCAATTATTGATATTAGTATTCAGTTTACTGATAAACTATTGAGATAGCAGCAGAAACTTTCATTCAGCACTGAAAATCATACCTTGCTTTCCAGAATGGAGATTTTTAGGATTAGGGTACATTTCAGTGATAAGGAGCAAACATAACATTTGGAACTTAATTTAAATTCCCTTAAAATTCCACAAAATTCACAGGAAATTTGATTCACATTTCTTGTATTTTCACAAAATGAACACACTTACTCACTACTTAAGCCCATTTCCTTTGTCACATGATATATTTCACAGCACTCAGGTTATTTGGTATTAATTTTTTAACCACATGGCACACTGTTTTTCATTGCTACCTTGTTGCAGATCTTTATGTGAAACATTAAGAAATTAAACAATGTACCATGGTAAAGCAGAAGAGCTTACAGAAGTAGAATATGGAATGACAATATCAATAGTTTGAGATTTCCATTTGCATGATCCTTTCAGAAATTATTCAAATCCAAATAAAAAATTCTTCTTTATTTAAGAAATGGAAGCAGAAATGAAACCACTCACCTCAAGGATGAACTGAAAGTAACTTGGCCATATGCCTGTGGTCTTCACATTCCGGAGTATTATCTCAGTAGTATTAATGTCTGGAATACATTTTAATACCTTGAGGTAATAACCCAGACGATTAATGAAGCAGGTACAAATAAAGTCCTTGCAGCAACCCTGAAGAGTGCAAGAGTAGACAAAGATGCTAACACTAAAAGTTCTACTTGCATAACAGCTGCTGCCCTGTAAGGAACAGCAGAGCTGTTCATAGCAAGAGGGAGGTTTCTATTACACCACTACAGGCACTTTATAACAGTAATTGTTTGAAAATCTGTAAGACTATTTGAAAAGAAAACATGTTCTCTCAAGAAAAATTCAGGGTCAAATGTCACTGTAAAGTGAAGGCAGCCCTGCTGGTCCTTCCAAAAGTAACGGAGTAATACAGAATTTGATCTTGGAGCAGCTGCTGGGCAGGATAGGATGCAGGTACCAGAATCTGGAGGGTTCAATGGAGGCATGAGAGAGCCGAAATCTCCAGCTTCTAGACAGAACACAGCTGGATGAAAAAGTTAGGGGCAAAAGCCCAGACTTTTAGGAAGAATTAGGCACCTAAATTGTTGGAAGGCCGCCACAGTGATTTTCAAAAATTCCAAAAGAACTTAGAAAAGATGCTCTTGAAGACCTCATGGGCCACCAACATATTTTTAAAAATTGGTCAAAACTTCCTTTTCTGGAGAAGCAAGAATATAGTTTCTAAACATTCATTACTTAAAGATCACAAGGAAATAGTCATTAGTTACAGCTTCTCCATGAACAGCAGCCACAGAGTCTTGGTGTATCAGTTTAACAACCACATCTCCTTTGCTAGCACTGAACATCATGGCTTCTTTTTTATTTCTGTAGAAAAGATGAGTCAACTAAAACAGAGAACACATATCTGTAGCCCTAATATATCCCACTACTAAATAAAATCTGAAGACTTAAGTGCATGAACAAGGAAGATTGAATTGTTTCCAGATGTGTATGCTCAACCCAGTGCAAGAGGTGTATGACAACGTCAGGTCTATACTGTCACAACCAGATGAGCAAGTCACTGAATAAACCCCAGATGCTCTGATGCATCCTGATTTGGACTTTTTATACCAACTATGATATGACTGGGAGGGGAAGGGAAGGATTGCTCTGGAAGTGACAGTTCAGGAATAAAAACTATCAGATTGCTAAATATGCTAGTTAACTGATCATTATAATGGTATAAAAGATTGTCACATACAGTAGGAATTTTTAATATGGTTTGATTTTGTTTTTTCTGAAATATTTTACCCTTGTTTCTGCCTGCACTGAATCTAGATGAAACATTCATTATGATTTGCTGTCGTCCCAATGCCATCACCATCTGCACATCTAGTTTTATACCCTTCGGATGTACCAGTGATAAAGAAGTGAAAAAAAACAGGGCTGAATAAGGACACCAACATACAATTTGGATGATCCCCTTTACAATCCCTTTTATGTATTGCTTCCTTCCTTTTTCATCCATTTGCTTTCTAACACTTTGTCTTAACTCATTGCAACTGGATTTACCTTTGCAAAATGTTTCTGTCTTTGACACAGGGTATTGCCAGTGCCATTTGAAATCAAATTAATGAGAGTGGCAGACACTTCCCCTAAATGTCACCATTCAAATCCGGTGAAACATACTGCGTAAGTATGTTACTGTCCTTTCCTACCATTATATGCTATAGAAGTGGACCAGTCACCCTTAGGAAGCCCATCATTTTTTTACATGACTACAATATTTATATAGCGAAGATTAATAATGAACTCCCAGCTGATACAGGGAATAGGACAGCAACTGAGAGAACACTCCTGCGCTGCACTAGGACAAACCTTGTTCTCAGAAATCATCTCAACAAACATAAAGCTGCATGCTGGATTGGTGTAGCAAACTAGGAGGATGCCCTTCAACCTGCATTTGGAAGAAGTACTTGAGTAGCGGTTTGTTACTGGAAGATACAGTAGGTTGTTGAAAAGATGAGAGAATTCAAAGCTACAAAATGTATCCTTGGGATCCCTTATAACATTTGGATTCAGATTGCATAATGAAAATACATCAATTATACAGCAACGGAGTAAATATAAAGAAATTGTTAACAGACCTGACTTTCACAGAAAGATAATGAAGGAAGACTGATACTCAGGAATTTTTAAATCCTTAATTCTCAGTAGTGAAAAATACTTTCTACTACTCTATAAGCACATAGATTATAATCTTTCACTGGATCTCTTAAGTATGGAGCAATCTCTGTGTACAGTAGTGTTTCCTGAAGAAAGGAGTATTTAATGCAGCAACTGGCATGAGTGCTTCAGATCAAAACCCTGAAATAATAATAAAAAAAGAATATAGGTTCACAGAGTTGAGTATATTTCTGAATCTGCAGCTGCATGTATTCCTTTCCCTTTCCTGACCTCAGAATAAAGTATGAGGCAATAAAATTCTAAGGGGAAGGAAAGTCATATATGAAAACAGAGAATATGGAAGTATAACCACCACACAAAGCAAGAGAGAAAAACAAATCCAAACGAGAGGATTGAAATGACAGCAGCAATGAAGTGCAGAGGGAGAAGAAAAAAGCTGTCAGAAATAATTAAGAGGAGCATAAAAAGTAATTAAAAAAACCTAAAAAAGCAAAGTGAAGGGTCATTTTATAGCTAGTTAACTATCTGAAAGAAATTATAATATATCTCCTCTTCCAAGAAGTTGTAAAATTTTCTCCCATTCTCTTTTCTTCAATTAGAAAAATCCTTACCTGCACATTCAAAGTGTCATACAGCACTGTAAGTTATTTTACAGCCACTGCTGAGAGACACAATTGTAAACTGCATAATTTAAGGTTTGTTTGGGGTTTGAAATTTATGAGTGTCCTGCTCATATTTTTGAAATATTTACATTTCTCTTTTTATTTTCTATATTTGACAGATTCGCTCCTGTTGAAATGTTGGAAAATGCCTACTAAAAGTCCTGACAACTTATCCTATCAGTAACTAAGCTGACAGTAAAATAAGTACAGAAGTAAGCCCTCCTCTCAGAAATGCTGGAAAAAATGGATAAGGAGCTTTTTGTAACTTAGAACAGATTCAGACATTAAAAAAAAAGTATTAAAACCTCATGCTCCAGTATATAATGCAACTTCTAACTGAGGAAGCCATAAAGCGAAGTCCATTAGACAGCAATATGATATAAACTGTCGTGTACCTTCCTCTCAAGGACATGACAAAATACTGTCAAGGAACAGAAACCTGAGCTGAAACTGAGGTTTGATGTGACTGTTACCATTTCTGCAAGACAAGATTTTGAAACTGAAAAAGAAATCCCGTAGAAAGTCTAATAGACTGTTCAGCCATAATTGGTGGTGTAGAAAGCAAATTTAACTACTATTAGGGGAGTTTCTCTGTCTCCTATCAGTCCCAATTCTTATGGCCAATAGACTAACCATTTTGAAGAAGTCAAAGGAAGCAATGGCACTGAAAATTACAAATTACTTGAGCAAGTAGGAAGCAGCACAGAGGCAATAAGGACCAGCTTTGTATATAATAGCTCAGCTATAATTAACTGTGTGAGCTTTCCTGTCTTTTGTAGTACAAAGAAGTCAACTCCACCTATTCCTAAAGACTGTTTATGTTCATGTGGTCAGCTACAACTCAGAAATGCTATCAGAAGCTGTTCTTTACCACCTTTCAGCTGTTAATCTCCATGTCTCAACATCTACTTATTTCTCTGTGGATGACTTATTCCAAATGCAGAAGGAAATGTGTGGAAAGAAGCTCACTTGTCCAGAAGGACCAGCGCTCCTCCCATCCTCTAAGTCAAAGGAAGTGGTTTTTTTTAAAGTCAATGAAATATAAATTGATCTTATGATTTAACAAATAAGAACAAGAAAAATAAAACCCCTCTCAACTTGACCAATTGTTTATCATAAAAAAAACCCTAAGGAGTTCCTCATTCATTGCCCGTGTCGGTACTGGCATAGCCAAGCCAAGGAGATGCACGTGTTAAGCCCTCATGTTTATGGACAGACAAAGCAGCTAAAATTCTCAAGTTTTTTTTTAATTGCTTTTTATGGGATTTGTCAGGCTACTAACCTGTTCACCATAGTCTGGCGGTTTATATGTAATAATGAAAACATAGCTCGATACAATAAAAAAATGGCTTGGATTTTAACAAACTTCTAATAATACACAGTTAGGAAATCACTGTAGTTGAGCTGAATAAAAAATTAGCTAAGTAAAAAAGTCAGAACACTTGTCAGTATATCATCATGAATTGGGATAAAATGGAATACACTAAAATATTGTGATTTTTTTAAAGGAAAAAAATGAATATATGTAAGTTTGGAAACACTTAAATATTTAGTTCCAAAATTTTCAGTCAAAATAAACACTTTTAACACTTGACACATATTCTGTGCTGAAAAAAACCAAAACACATAATACGGATGAACTACACCTTCTATCCTTTTTCAGCCAATTAATTTTTTTATAAACAAAATTTCAGTTTAACACAGAGCAGAAATGTTCTCCATCCTGTTTGTAGTCAGGAATTTTGAGAGACTTCTTTTTAGAGACACAGATTACCTATTCACACTTGCTTCCACCTGACCTAATTTTGTCAGGGAATACTGCTTTACTCTCAAAGATATTTCTATTTTGTACAATTTTGGTGGCCTTGTTCATGTTAAAAAGAACAGCATACATAAACCCCAAAGAATAATGACATATACATCACAAGATTTTGCTTTGCTTGCTTTGACACTGACGTGACAGTTCCCAAAAAAGGGAGCATGGGGACGTGCACTTATTTCTTATCTGGTTGCCATCTGCTCCCAGGCTAACTTGAGGACAGATGCCCAAATCCAAAGTCCTGCGAAGTTTAAGAGAGGACTTCCACCAGTAATCTGCAAATTGAAAGGACAACTCACGTTGCTCCAGAAGAAGGTAGACTGGATTTTAGCAAAAATTTCTTCACCAGAAGGGTTGTCAAGCATTGGAACAGGCTGCCCAGGGAAGTGGTTGAGTCACCATCCCTGGCGGTATTTAA